GGTTGGCCTCCAGCCTTTGGGATAGGGCTCCAGCCTTTGGGATAGGGCTCAAAAGCTCTTGAAGGCTCCAGGACCAATATTGTTCTACCCGAGAGTTTGTTATAGTCTCCTCCCTTTCAGAGCTAATGTCTCCTCATCACAGCTGTTCCAACATTAATGAGTACTTTTGAGAGCGCAGCTTTTCTGCTAAATGATAAGTTTTCCTCTTTTATTAGTCCATTAGGAGAGTTATTACAGCTCAAATGCTCTGTCCTATTTGGATGAAAACTACTTAGATAAATAGCAATGAATTCCTTGTCCTCAAATGATGGTCTTTCTGGGTGCTGGTACATGATATGCCCTGGTGTGTCCCATCTGCTGAATGAAGTGGGGGAGGTTTAGGAGAACATGATCCAAGGCCACTACTGGGTAATGCTGGGAGGGGAGCTGGGGCGAACACCTAAGACTTGTGGAGAGGTGAAAGAAGCAACTGAAAACCTCTGAGGGGACAAGACCCAGAGAAAAGATGAAAAATGGGTTTGTAGGGAAGCCTCCAATCTGATCAGTTCAAAAGGATTTTTTTTTTTAACCTGATTTCTAGAGGAGAAAGCCTTGGGTAGCAAGGAGAAGTGGCGTCCAGCAGTGTGAACATTCACTTCACAGGAGCCTTTAACTTCATATTGCTTTAAAAAATGCAGTTAACCTTCCTCCGGTAACGTGCACCTGAACAATCTGATGTGTGCGCCTGCTCCATCGCATTTCCTCTGGTTTCCCCCCAGGAGGTGAGATTTGCCTCCCTCCCCAGCAGTGTGGAGTTGCACCTTTGCTAAGGGGGAAATCTGTGGTTGCTGCACTGATGAGTAATTCTTGAAATCCCCCAACATTAGCTGCCATCTCCATTATTGTGGCTACAGAAGAGCTATTTTGTATTTCAAGGATATCAGTGTGGGTGGTGTGGCCACATCCTCTTCTAAGCCATGCAGGAAGGCAGCAATTACTCTCATGGGTTTCAATCTACAGCATGGCAAAGCACGATTTTGCTAGTGTCACACCCAAGCTTACCAGCTTCTAGCCCATTCCCAAAATATCCTTCCTCCCCAACATTCAGTGATGCTGACTCCTGCCCATTTGGTCCCCAGCACCGGCTTCTGACCCAAGCGGTGCGAAGCAGAGGCAGGTGATGGGCCAGCCCATGAAGTTGTGCTGGGAGATGCAGGGCCCGCAGCCTGTGAGCCCTAATTCCCCAAGGGAAGGAGGCTCTGCCATCCCCACTCACTGCAGGTGCACCTTTCCGTCGGGATGCTCCACGCATTGCCAGGTTTCACGGTCTTTTCCCACTGGATTGGGGTTTCCAGGTTTTCTCCTATTAAAGTTCATACCAGCTAAATTAAATACAAGATTTGCAAATGGAGGTCAGCAAGTTGCTGCCATGCACTTTGTGAGTACGTAATTGCCTCTTTACATCGATTAGTAGGTGAGAGACTGTGTCACCTATGCATGTCACTGTGCCTGTCAATGAAGCCAGGACTGTCCACCTGGAGATGTGGGCTGAATTTGGAAACATCTAGTTGCCAAAGCACTTTGGCCTAGTGTGTCTCTCTTAAAAACTGCATATCAATAAATCCTATGGCCTGTAGTCGCATCCTGTCATCTCTCAGGGGATCCTGGTGAGAAGATCCAGCCCCAAGGGGGAGGCACTGCAGGCATTCTGGTTACTTAACTCTTCATTTCGAGGTCTGGAGACTCCAAAGTTTCTCAGCAGGGTCTAAGCAGAAGGCTTCTGCTTTTTATCATCATGCCCACCCTTGGGAGGAGCCCAGGAGCTCTCTGGCTGGTTTTGGTTTTCCCTGCAGCAAGGGCAGAGGTTTGCCCAGGTGTCATCAGGGACTTGGCATGCAGCAGATAGCTCCTGCAGGAGCAGAGGAGGCGAGTAATGCCTCAGCCCACCCTCTGGTATGCTATGCTTTGCATCTCTGTGTCTTTTGCACTGCAGATTGCCAGTTTAATGCCAAACGACGGAAGTGCCTGGTGGGATGGATGAGTAGGGAGCAAGGAGTGTGTGTGCGTGCATGTGTGAGCTCGGTCCGTGTCCAATGTGGTGGCTGTTGCAGGCTGATGTCCTGGTGACACTGATGACAACCAACTTGGTGAGCTGGCAATGCCACAGCAACTGTGCCCAGGAACCAGTTTTCTTAACTGTTTTGTAAAGCTGATTTTATATTTTTTCATCTTGGCTGTCTGCCCTGCCTCCAAGGAGGGGCAGACAGTAATATCAGCAGAGGTTGCGTGAATAAAGAAAATCCCGCCACGCTGACCTCAGGAAATTTTATTCCGTTAGTTTATTGGAGTGCTATTTATCAGTATTAATCTGGCACTGTTATCAGAAGACATTCATGCAGCCTCCTGAAAGTACCTAGCTATGTGTAATATGCCACATATAAATAAATGCCATTGTGAATGTTGAGTCATACAGGAAGATAAATAAATTAGTTTCCTGGGCTCATTAGAGCTGAAAGCTGGGCTTTTATAGCAGGATGAAGAGAATTGCACAATGCAGTTCCATATGGCTTATGAAATGTGTATGAAAACCATTTTCTCCTACCCATCCTAATTATGATATATAAATAGATTCACTGTTTTCCTTCCAGGACTTACTTAGCTTGATTTTTTTTTTTTTTTTAAAGACCAGTGCAATCACTTCTGTGATGCATTTCTGTAGGCCCTCAACAGATCTCTAAATCAAAATGCAATGATTTTTAGCAATAACACTTTTCACTAATTGGGAAAGAAAATGTTGCACAATAGGTGACAGCTGTCATGAGTGCTCAGCACTGTCAGAAGTCATTTTGGCAGTTGGCTTTAAATTGTATCTGGGATAAGTGTTTAAATAATGTGTAATAAGTTTTTAAATTATGTGTATATATGAGGTTTTGTGGGAGCGTGAGTGTGCTTATGGAAGGAGAGGGAGGTTTGCACTACCCATGACCAGGCAGCAGGCTGAAACCAAAGCACTGTTTTTCACCCAGTGTAGAATTTTGTCACATAACCTGTCAGCAGAGGACTCCTGCATCCATCTCACTGCTGACAGCAGCAGAGCCACAGGTTTAACAGCAGCTGCTAGGAGGGTAAATGGGGGCCAGCAGGGCTGGCTGGGCCAAATTCGGGTGGGCTGTATCTGCTAAAGACTCATATGAACAGGAGGAGACAACAGAGATGGAGGAAGGGGGATGCCAGAGCAGTAAGGATGAGATGTATGTCAAATATATATCTTTTTATTATTCAACATTGAGACTGCGGTAGTGCTTAGAGGCTGACATTTTGGACCTTGTTATACCAGATACCATAAACATGGTGCCCATGACAGTCCTTGCTCCAGAGAGTAAGGAAAGCCAGGCTATGGGACACATACACAGCACAAACAGAGCACGCCTCTGCTTTTCCAGCTTGTCTGTAGTCCAGCAAGACCCTCCCTACCTGGAACCAGTGGGTGACATTCACTGGAGCAGGCTGGGAGTAGTGGAAGAATTGGCCCTTTGAAGGAGTACATAGGACTACATATGGCAACGCAGTAAACAACAGTCAGAGACAGAATAAATGAGTCACTTTTCTAGCATATTTGAATACCGTTTAAATATAAACTCTGCAAATGAATATCTCTAACTGAGAAAAAATAAAATTGGATGCAAAAATATACCAGTGGAATACTGCATATGCATATAAATACATTACATGGTTTGCACAGTCATTATGTGTCTTCCTTCCAGACCGACTTTCTACAGACTGATACAGAAGTTGAAACAGAGAAAAACAGAAGGGAAAGGGCTTCAACTACACACATTGTTGTTTTGGCAAGTGATTCACTTCCCAAAATCTGGGCTGTAAAAACAAAACATACTTTCACAACCTCGCACCATATCTACCTCACAGCAAGAGAGGAAAGAGCGAGCAAGGAAAGAATGATGTGTGCAGGATGCTTGATACGTTATAATGGCTTTCGAGACCAGTTCCACCACCCATTCAAAACCCATGATGTTAATGAGGGTCTGGAAAAGCCCTCTACTCGATAAGGAGGGCTTAGTAGCCAAAGTGCTTTACTAGATGCCGGTGCTTAGCCCACACAATCCACTGCAACAGGTGGTTTGCTCCTAACCCTCTGTTAGCGGGGTGCCACTTCAGTGCAGACGGACTGCATGGGGTCACTGCAGAGGGGCTCGCGGCTGCCGGGGGTGGCGGGCGCTCCCACCTCACGGAGGTGAAGGAAGCACACGCTGCCCTGGCTGGACCGCTGCTGCGGGGCCAGCCGGGGCTCTCCGGGGCTGGTTCGGAAACCCTGAAGCCCCTGGGCAACGTCGCTGCATGGGGCAGAGTGTGCAGCCGGGACCACTCCAACCCCCAGATCTGGGGGTGCTGCAGCGCAGTGGGACAGCAGGAGTCCCGGCATGGCTGAGTGACAGCTCCTGCTGGCCCAAAACTTGGTGCCTCTCCCATCAGCCTAACGCAGCTGCCCCCCCTGCCTGGCTCAGAGGAAGACAGATGGGGTGCAAGCATGCTCACATGGGACTTTTCCAACATCTCTAAATTTTGGCTTCAGTTTTTGTCTCCCTCCGTTTCCTTAGAAGACAAAAAGCTACATAGGAGGTGCCTGCTCGGTCTGGGCTAGCTGGGGAGTCAGTGACGTGCCCTTCACAGCACCCTGTGAGGTAGACAGAGGTCAGAGCACTTTTGAGAGACAGTGTCCAGGCAGAGAACGCGGAGGCACCAAGGAGACCTTGGAGGGAGTCTGTGGCTGCTGCGAGGAGCAGCCCCGGTCCTTGCAAGCACTGCTCCTCCCACAGGTGCCCCTTGTCCTGGCTGTGCACGGAGGACGGTGATTCCCACAGAGATGCTGAGCACCTGATTAGGACAAAGTACTTTCCGTAGGAAAAGGCGGCAGTGTGCGCTGTGCATGGCTCCAGGGGACAGTCTCCATCCCTGGCTTCGCCCACAGTCCGGCACAAGGGGGTGCCAAGGGGTGCCTTGGCCTAGGAGATGTTTATGTTGGAGAAGAGTGGGGCCCCGGGTGGTGTGGATGCTGTGCTGTCTGCCAAGTAGCCCAGGATGCTTTTGAGCTCGCTGCGTGACAAATTGGCTTTAATGTACAGGAACGCTTCCATGTGCTTTTTGCTGTGGAAGAGAAACGGGGAGGTGTTATCTCCTCCTGCAGACCTCTGCGTGCCAGGCTCCTTGTGCCAGGATGTGGTCCCCACCCCGCGGTGGGTGCTGAGATCCCCGGCAGATGCCAGCTTGGCGTCTGGCAATCCTACACGGGATCCAGCACTGCCCAAGGAGGTTTGGGGTAGAGTAGGGAATCTCCAAGGCAAAGGAGAAAATCAGACCAGAATTTCGAATATCTAAATAGGCCTTTTTTAATAGTTTATTTTGTTGTCCGATGGCACTGGGATTGCCATAGCCTGGCAGGCAGCCCCCACCTGTTTTTATAGACTCAGGCTATATGAACCTCACCTATGCTAATATTTGACTGTTTCCTGGCTCAAAAAAAAATCCATACAAGTATTTGCAAATTTGCTTCAGTGTCTCTTACCGGATATCTGGGTATGTCGTGGCGAGTGTTGCAACTTCAATTTTAATAGCACCTAAATCCTGAAGTCGGATTATTTCAGCCAGTCTGGGGAGCGCTGAATTCAGCCATGTGGCTTGAGACCCCTGCCAGAAGAGAAAGCAGTCAGCAGGGCATCGTGGAGATGCAAACCTCTGCCCAGCCCAGGAGCTGTGTTTCACCAGGGGTGCCACCAAGCCGGCTCCTGAGGCTGTTTTCTGGTGAGGGGGAAGGACATGGCAGCGATTTTAGGTGCCTCATTGTTTTCAGTGATGTTTCTAGCCCAGACTTTGCCTGGGCCAGCCTTGGAGAAATTGGATTAGTTTTGTGGTGGTTTTTAATCCTCTTACACAAGTGGTGTAGGGTTTGCCATAAGACCAAGATTTCGGCATCCACCCCGACACACTCTCTCTGCTCTTCCCTCCCATCACATTTTCCTTTCCTTGGGTTTCTATGCTGCCTGGCATGGGTACAAGGTCTGATGGGCAAGGTAATGTGCTAGCAATGCTGCTCTCTCCCAGCTCTGCACACAACCCTGCCTTTAGCATCTCTAGGCGTTGCCAAAATCCGTTCCCTGCCCACTCAGGTAAAAGCCCCAACTGGTCCTGTTTTCTGGCCGTTGGATATCGCAAGGTGCTGGCTGCCTGATCTCCTGCCCACACTGGGTGATGCTCAGGCTTGTTCATTCTCCTGTCAAATGTGCATGAGGTGGTGGACAGGGCTTGACTTCGCTTTTGTGCAGGCAAATTTAAAGGTGTGAAAGGAGGGACGTGATCTCAGATGACAGAGAAGGGTGTTTCAGCCATGCAGAAAAAGCAAGGGTCTCTGGTGGAGGAAACCCTTGTGTATCCGTGACCCCAGACTGCCCATTCCAGCCCCTGCCTGACCTAAAAGCAGGAGAATGAGGGAAATCAAGGGCGAGGGGGGAGAGTCAAAACCCAGACTCCACATAAGTTGTACTGAAACCAGAGAACTGCAGTGTTTAGCTAAATCTTCTAACCGTATTAATATAAACCTTCAAAAGGAAGCCACTGCCTATGGGACAAAGGAGGAAGAAATCATTGCTCTCCCTCTGGGGGCGCGCAGGCTGGTGGCAGGGGAGCCTTCATGCCCACAGGCACTTGGAGACCTCTTTCTGCCTAAGGTTCTTCCTTCCAGGAAATTAAGCTGAGTCGGAAAGGCTAACGAGAGACCCCAGAAAATTTATTTTCCTGTTTTTCAGTGTGCCTGTGTCCCGTGCTGGTGTGGACATGGTGAGCACTCATGTACCTTGCTGGTGCAGAAGGCTTCCAGGTCAGCAGCGTTCTTGGAGATGTATTGAGCCAGGTTTTGCTGTTGTGCTGGAGTTTTCAGGCTGACTTTCCTCTTCAGCAGCCTCACGATGTACTCTTTAACCAAACGGGCGTGGATCTTCTCGACGATAGCCTGTTGGGAAGCAGAGGGGGGATGATCCATCTATCTTTTGCTTGGGGACAAAACAAACCGTGTGTGGATGGAGGACAAAAACATCTTGGGTGTTTTAAGACATGCCCCACCAAATGCCTGCTGCTGATCACACGTGAGGAACAGTGCTGGTTGCCAGCCTCCCCATGACTGGTTATGTGACATCCTAGATACCGAGAATTTCTTTGTACTCAAACTAATGAAGTGTGGGAATTTCCAAATGCTGTTTCCTTCTGGGAAGAGTTGAAGGAATAGAAAAGATCTAACATATTAGAGAAAAAGTAGCAGTACTCCAGAGAAACAGGAAATCATGCTGCTCTTCCTGTTCCTCTCTCTCATACCAAAACATCATAATTTTATTTCAGCTACTAAAAAGACAAAGGCAGGATGGCACTAAGCACCACGCAGCTGCTCGCTCACTCCCCCTGCCCTGGTGGGATGGGGGAGAGAATCGGAAGACTAAGAGTGAGAAAACTCCTGGGTTGAGATAAGAACAGTTTAATAATTGAAGTAAAATAAAGTAAAATACTAGTAGTAATAACAACAATATAATAATAATAGTAATAATAATATACAAAGCAAGTGATGCACAGTGCAATTGCTCACCACCTGCCGACTGATACCCAGCCAGCCCCCAAGCAGCGATCGCTGCCCCCTGGCCAGCTCCCCCCAGTTTATATACTGGGCATGACCTATTATGGTATGGAACAGCTCTTTGGCCAGTTTGGGTCAGCTGTCCTGGCTGTGCCCCCTCCCAGCTTCTTGTGTACCTGGCAGAGCATGGTAAGCTGAAAAGTCCTTGACTAGCATAAGCAGTACTCAGCAACAACTAAAACATCAGTGTGCTATCAGCATTATTCTCATACTAAATCCAAACCACAGCACTGTGCCAGCTACCGGGAAGAAAATTAACTCTATCCCAGCTGAAACCAGGACAATACTCCAGCACCACTGAAAATATGGTTTTGGCTCAGTTATTTGGGATTTGTCGCAGTTGCATCCATCTCCTCTGGTCCTTAGAGCAACCAAAGGAGCCATGAGACAGAACCGTGCAATTGCATCCACGTTTCAAGGTTGCTAAACCAAACCGATACATAAATAAAGCCATATTTTGGGCAATCCCTACTTTCTCTACCGCAAGGGTAGTTTTCTCTGCAAACACTGCAGCAGGGCTGCAGGAGCGTGCTTCTGCTGGAGAAGAGTAAGATTTATATGGCTAATCTAGGTAAAAAGCATGCTGATGGAAATCCTGCCTGAGAGGGCTCCCTGATGCCAGGCCAGCTCGCCAGCTTAACGCGGGTCAAGGCAACTCCAGTGCAGAGGATCAGAGCTGAAAATGGAGTCTTGGCATCCCAGAATCCCCCCGATATTTCTCTTGGACTTACATGGTAGAAAGGGTCCTTTAGGGTCTGGAAGTCTGAAATATGTTTGCTGGTGTTTTTAATGATCTCGTTCATAATTTCATCGCTGGAGTCCCACTTATTTTCTGTAAACTTCTTATAAATCGGCTGAAAAAAAGGAAAATCTGCTTAGTTCCCTCAAAACAAATTCTACACACACGTATATTTAACATTTCTATATATACAGTATCCTACATAGTGACAGTGTGGCATGCAGTCCTGTGCAGGGACATGTGACAATGACTTACAGGGGCAGGGGAAGAGGGGGCTGTATTGGTTTTGTGCCCCCTTCTTGGTTCCTCATGATGAAGACTGAGGGCTTGAAAGGCTCATATTGGAGATGCGTTTTTTTATTTCCACGTTTTATGTTTTGGCCACACCACCTTGTCTGATTAGAGAATTATGGAACCATCAGGCAAAAAAATGAATCATTATAAGACATTATTAATCGTAATTTCTCTTGACCACAGTAAATAAATACGAAAATAAAAAAAGCACCCCTGCTCTGTCAGATGCCTTCCAAAAGGCCCTACAGAGAAAGCAGGAGAGATTGTGGCTGAACATTCCTGACTCCTATGCCTTCCCCTCCACCACACTTGCTTAACTTAAAAAGCTTGTTGTGTTATATATATAAAAAAAAGAAAAAAAAAAAAAAAGAAACCAAAACTGCCTTTCAGGCCACCTTTATGAAGAAGCCAAAAGCTGTGTAATTGCAGTTCATGTCATTTGTGATTGCTTCCTACGTTTGGAGTGTAAAGACTTGCAGGTTGAGACTCTCCTTCCTACAGCAGTTATCTTAGATCTGTTCAGCACTTTTTAGGTTCGTCTGCACAGTCATGCCTATGTAGCTGCACCTGTTTTGCCTGCAGGCTTGAGGACCAGCTCAAGGAGAGGTGATTCAGAGTTTTCTGACTGATGCTGAGGGGTGACCTGCCCCACAGCCCTTCTGAACTTTGCTGCATTTGAATCAAAGATTTGGGCAACCGATAGCATGGCAGGGGAACATGGCCGGTACCGGCACAGGCTGAGCCACGGGGCAGGAGGGTGTGAGGCGCAGATCCGGTACCTTCAGCTGGGCAAACAGCTGTTGAAGCAGCACGTCAAAGCCACTATTTTCAATGTCGCTGAGAGTGCTGAGTATACTGGCTTTATTGCAGTCCTCTTCTGCCATGTTTTTCTCTGCATAGACTCTGCAAGGAAGTATCAGCAAGGTCAGAATAATCTGTCGTCAAAAGAGATATATATAGAGAAATTCAGAAGTCTCCAAACCTTCCTCTGCAGGCAGATGGACCTTCCTCTGCCCACTCTGGAGTACCTCCCCTCTATCATGCTATTACCCATTGCCTGCAGAGGAAGGAGCAAAGCCTTTTCTTTTGGACCCTTACCTAAAATTCCAGCAGTTGTTAATATTTGCAATCAGTATAGGCTTGTAGTGTCTGTGCTTCTTGCATTTCTCCTTAAAGTCTTCAAAAGCATCCTTGTAGCTGGAGGGGAGATGGGAAGAGGAGAGGCGGATGAGTGCATGCCCCGGGGCAGCTCTGCCAGCCCTGCTGCCCGACGCTGCCTTACCGCACCTTTTCAGGAAGGCAGGCAGCTCCTTCCACAGGCGATGCGACAGCTCCTCGCCCAGTGCCGTGCTGATGTCCTTGGCTCGCTGCTGGCCACTGTAGACACTCTAACAAACAAACAAGATCAATTTTAAATGCTGACTGTTCCAAAAAGGCCAGGTTCCCTGGTTAAGAAGGCCACAGATCCTTAACTGTGGTAACTGTGCCCAGCTGTCCTGCACCCCTCCCTGCGACTGAGCCAGGGACCGTGCAGAGCAGCTATACTTATTTGGTGGGTTCAAGCCAGTTTTGAACTCCATTTTCAAATGGGGAGAGAGGTGAAGAAGAAAGAAGCATTAAAGAACGTCTGTAAAATAGCTGAGAAAGTGGGGAAAGTGACACTTGGGTTTTTTGCTTTTTTGACGAATGTCATATGACTGCATTAAAAAAACCCCAATTTAAGCACAACAACCTCAATATATGAAAGGTTTATTTTTTAAAAATGAACTCTACTAATCCTCTGCAGTGAGAGGAGGGAGAGTGTTGAGCATGGGGAAAGGGCACGAGCCCTCAGAGCAGCTCTGCCCGTGACAGTCTCCCTGGGAGCAAGCAGGGCAACAGCACCGTGCTTCCTCACTCGGCTAAACCTGTCTCTTGTCTCTGTGCTGCTACGTTAACCAGCACCTAATGGCTTGGCTTCGGCTGGGGGTGCAGAAGAGACCACACAGGGAGAAATGAAGGCAGCTCTCCTGCTTGTTTTGCTTATAGAGGAGTTTGTCTCCATCACGTACTAGACCAGGATGATGCCAGACCTTGGGTTAGGGCTCCCCCGTACCACCCACCTCCACTACCACCCTACACAAGCGACTTGGACTTTCGCTTCCCTGAATTGACTATAGTTAGTCTCACATCCTAAATACAGGCAGGATGCAACTGTTTTTAATATATATCTGTATTACCTGGATAACAAATATTGCTAGTAGTTCACTCTGAAAATGTCCATTTAGTTGCTCTGGTTCTCTGTCTTCTTTCCATCTTTGGATTTCTTTATCTAAACATTTGCTCAGTGAATTTTTGATAGTAGCCTTTAGGGAAGAAAAACAACAGCATTTACCACAAAGTGGATGTAGCAGTTCCTGCCTTATGCAGGCTTTACTCGCCCACCCACCATTTCTCTGGCTGAGCAGACTTTTTCCTCGGCCCTGGCTAAGAAATAAAGGCTCTTTGTTAGGAGACGCCTCATCCACAGCCTCACGTCAGCAAGGACAACCCCCTCACAATATCCACCTACACAATAGCGAGTTGAGTATTTCAGGGTAGGAATGAAGATCAAGACCTACATCCCTGCCTGCCACCCTGCCACGTCAGTGGTGATCTCGAGGGCAGGGGAGGGGAGCAGTGGGTAGGAAGCTTGCACGCAGCTACGCATGCCAGAGCCCAAATTCCCCCAGCCACACATTGTGCGTAACACTCAATGCTACCCTCTGGGCCTGGTTTTGCAATCCTTTTTCATAAGCACTTCTAACGTCTTACGAGCACTGGAGAGTGAAACAAAGCGTTCTCAGGTTTTCTCTGCTCCGACCCCTCCTGCGTGCACACTGTGCAGCAAGGCTTTGGAAATGGTCTGTACAGTGGCTGGCGTCTATCGCTGATCACCAAGTGCTTTGTTCATGCGCTTCGCAGCCCTCACACCCACCTCTCCCATCTGCAAACCATCACGGGCTACAGCTAAACCTGGAACTTGTCTTCTCATTTTCCAGGAATTCCAGCCCAAAATGCCAGAAGCACTAAGCTATGGGAGTACTGTAAAAGTTGCTTCTTGTTTCCATTAAGGCAAGAGTGATCCAAAACCAAGAGCAACTGTTATTTTCTGCGGACCAGGCGATTCTCGATCAAAGAGACAGATTTTTCAAGACCAGATGTGCATGCTTTGTGCTCAACCAAGGTCTGGCACCGCTGCAGAGACCAAAAGTAATTCTGAATCCATCCTGCGAGAGGGAGCACAAATCCTTCTGGGGATTTAGCAGAAAACTGGAAAGTTACCCATAAAGATTTGTCGTTAGATTTTTTTCCCACCTTCCTACCACAAGGTTTGCTAGAACAGAGCCATTCTTTTCTGATGGCTCGCAGGGCAGAAGGCTGAGCTAAGCAGGAGTTTGCTCTGCAAGTCCCGTCCAGAAGAAAGCCAACCTGTCCCCACAAAAGAAACAAAAGCATTTTTGCTTTTGCTTCTCTCTAGAAGGGTGTGTGACATAGCTGAGAAGTGTGCATGCAGGACAAGTCAGAGCTTCTCCAAGGAGTCATCTGAGAGCAGTAAAGGGAAGAGGAGGGACTGAACGGATTCTCACCTCTTCACTGTCAAGGTATTTCATTTCAAGGTCTTTGCTCAGACTTGATGGCAAAAGGCTTCCAAGCTTAACTTTCTCCAACTCCCCTCCTAAAACATGATCTTTTCTCATATCTCTGGAATGAAAAAGCCAAACAATCACATTTTCCAAGGGCAGTGTAATTTAAGACAGCTGTTGATGCAAATCACTAACACTTTTTGAGGATATCAGTGAAAACACAGATGGAAATGTACATTGTCCTTAGTCCAGGCAGGACTTGGAGGAGCTGAATCTGTGCCAGGGATGGGACCTGTGAGGGTGGGACCCTGAGCAACCCCAGGGAATGGAGTTGTGTTCTGCTGAGCTCCTGAGCACCGGCCACTGTGCTGGGTATGGGACACAGCCTTTCTCCATCAATACAGAGAAGTGATCAGAAGAAAAGCTGGCATTTTGTGGCTAGCTAGGAATGGAGCAGGCAGTTTCATACCCTGCTGTCATGTCCCCACCACATGCTGGCTGAGCTAGGTGCTCCTGAGCAGCTTCGAGGGAAGGGACCTGCCAGCTGTGGGGGGCTCAGGCCAGCACTCATGGGAGGGCTGATTTGGAAGCAGCCTCTCCCTCTGGAGCTGCAGAGAATAACCCTGAGCATTGCCTGATTCCCATGTTTGCACATGACCCAGCTCCATGGGGGTACACTGGGTACACCACTGAGTACTGCACATGGGCTGTTTCTGATATGGTGCAGAAGCTGGGGCCAGGCTGCTGTGCAGCCCTCCTCCTCCTCGCTGCTCCTTTCACTGCTGGTCATGGAGAGAGGTGGTCCCTGAACAGTCATCTGGACCTGGCCTCTGGTAACACCCTGCAAAGCAGCCGCTGCCCCGGCCAACACCATCCCCAGCACTGGGCTGCACTGCTCTGGCTGAGCCCTGCTCCTCACAGCTACTGATTTCCAAACACATGCTGGTTCAGGCATGAACATCCTGACCTAGAGCACAGTGCTGGCTCTGGAAAGCATCCAGGATCAACACTGACTTGTTTTATTCCGTCAGTGAAACACGAGAAGGAAAAAGGGGGGGTGAAAGTTGAATGGCTGGAAGAAACACTGCTGGTGTATTTACTGGTTTTCACCTAAGAAATGAGAGCTCCCGATTCTCCATCCAGTACTGTAAGTCACAAGTAATATTTTCAGTTCCATAACATACAGAGCTTGTCAGGGTGAAGGGTGACCCTTGGCTGATGGTGTCCTCCCACAGGGGTGCACTCTCTGGTTTCCTAACCTGGAGGAGAGCACACACTGTGGGTAACGCCTAAGCAACATCCTCCGTGCCCAGGATAATTGCATCTCAGGTTGTTCTATGTACTGGCTGTCCTCTGGTCCAGAGGGCTGAAATTTCCAGATTCTCTAAGAATGAGTTCAGGTCTGCAACTGGAATAGAGATCAGGGCAATGAGCCTGCCCAATTTACCTGACAAGTGAAGCCCTAAACATCTGTGTGCATCTCTGTTGCCCAGAAGCCGGAATGGTGGGGTGAGCCCTTGGTTTACAAACTAGCAGCCTTGAGCGTGTCCCTTCTGACTGTCCTAGCCAGCTGGTGTACATCAGCATGACACCAGTGACACTAAAACCTAGCCAGGTACCAGACTGCATTGCAATGATACCTATTCATAAATCAAGCAAATGTCTGGTTTGCAGCCAGTGAACCTGTGTTGATCACCAGGGATAAACACGTGTAAAAGCCTCACTTACTTTGGATAAATATTGTGCACCCATGAGAGGAGGAGGTAAATATCCTTGTCTTCCAGAGGAGACTCAGCAGTTTTCTTCGCCTGGGAGGCAAAATAATTGTGGTAGAGTTCTGCATATGTGCTGAACACATTAAACTCCGGAGGATAAAGCCGTTTAATATACCTTACAACTACTGTCAAATCTTCTTTCATTGTCTTCCCCATGTGCAGGAGGTTCTGGCCAACTGTAGAGAGGTTCTCAGTTCTAGGACTATGGCTTGAGTCTTTCATTCGAGCCTCTACTGACTCCTTTACTGTAGCCATCCAAAGTTCTTTCCATTTTATAGGCCTAAATTGCATGTTTTGGTCAGGTGGATTCTCTGATGTGTAGTTCTGATCTTCTTTCTCCTGCTCTTTCAGTGCCTCTACTGCCTGCTGCAGCAGTTCTGGGTTTGTTTTTGCTAGCAGTATAGAGTCTTTCAAGATGCTGAAGACTTTGTGCTTCAGAATTTCGTAGATGGACTCGATGTCTTGCTGGCTGGTGTTCAGCCCCTCCTCACTTTTGCTAGACAGGCTCTTCTCCAGGACAATCAGATGCTGAGCGGCGTCGCAAAGCTTTTGCTCTTCAAGGAGATCCATGACTTGTTTGACTGGTGAAAAAAAGAACAGCCCTTCTTTACCCAATAGCGAAGATTTAAATTTCTATTTTATATAAAATGATGGTTCTGGAATACTTTAAAAAAGAAGTTTGTATTTCTATAATGCTAGATCTTAGTCTCCTTCACCATATAGAAAATCTTTCTCTTTATTTAAAGATCAGATTATTTCTAGCCCGCCTCTAACTGGGGCAATGCAAATTTGAATACCTAGCACCAGTGTTTCATATGGACAGATATTCATGTGCTACCCATCATTTTTCCAAAATTTAGATTTGTGGGGGTTTGTTTATTTACTTATATCCCCCTTCCCATTAATATGACCTCAAGTAAGAAGCATGGCTTTAGAAAAAAAATGTAGACTGAAAGATGTAGCTAAATAAGATGTGCTAGAGGAAATACCACATGAGTTTTCCAGAAATAGGTTGGCACAATCTGACCTGTGACATTTTTTTGGAGGACACATTTAGCAGGCAAGATAAATACAATTGAACTATCTTATCTGAACTACAGCCAGTTACTTGATACAGTGCAATCTGGGAAATTACTAGTTAACTGGAGAAATTATATCCCAAAATAAGTTTTGTTAGGTGTGTAAGGTTTGTATGGAAAACCCTGGGTAGAGAAAGCTTACGTTATTAATGAAACTCATCTTGCTTCATATTCTCGTTAGAGACTGTGGCAATGTATTGGGTTTGCATGGCAAGGTTTTGGTAGCGGGGGGGTTACAGGGGTGGCTTCTGTGAGAAGCTGCTAGAGGCTTCCCCTATGACTGACAGAGCCAATACCAACTGGCCCCGAGATGGACCCGCCACTGGCCAAGGCTGAGCTCATCAGTGACAGTGGTAGCACCTCTGGGATGCCATATTTAAGAAGAAGGAAAAAAAAAAAAACAATGGGACTCAAACTGCAGCTGGAGTGAGGAGTGAGAATATGTGAGAGGAATGACCATGCAGACACCAAGGGCAGTGAAGAAGGAGGAGGAGGAGGTGCTCCAGGCACCGGAGCAGAGATTCCCCTGCAGCCCCTGGTGCAGACCATGGCGAGGCAGCTGTGCCCCTGGAGCCCATGGAGGTCCATGGTGGAGCAGATATCCACCTGCAGCCTAGGGAGGACCCCACGCCAGAGCAGGTGGATGTGCCCAAAGGAGGCTGTGACCCCGTGGGAAGCCCACGCTGGAGCAGGTTTGGTGGCAGGACTTGTGACCCTGTAGGGGACCCATGCTGGAGCAGTCTGCTTCTGAAGGACTGCACCCCATGGAAGACATGAACTGCTCCAGTGTGGGTCAAGAACTGTAGCTCATGGGAAGGGCCCACGTTGGAGAAGTGCATGGAGGACTGTCTCCCGTGGGTGGGACCCCCCGCTGGAGCAGGTGAAGAGCGGGAGGAGGAAGGAGCAGCAGAGACAATGCGTGATGAACTCACCACAACCCTCATTCCCTGTCCCCCTGCGCTGCTCAGGGGGAGGAGGTAGAGAAAATGGGGAGTGAAGTTGAGCCCGGGAAGATGGGAGGGGTGGGATGAAGGTGTTTTAAGATTTAGTTTTTATTTCTCATTATCCTACTCTGATTTGACTGGTAATAAATTAAACTGGTTTTCCCCAAGTCGAGTTTGTTTTGCCCCCGACAGTAATTGGTGAGTGATCTCTCCCTGTCCTTATCTCGATCCACAAGTTTTTTGTTATATTTCCTCTCCCCTGTCCAACTGAGAAGGGGAGCAATAGAGCGGCTTTGGTGGGCACTTGGGATCCAGCCAGGGTCAACCCACCACAGGCACAAAAGCTGGGAGTGCCCTATTGGCATCTGCTGATTACACAAAGTTCAGAGATGTTATTGAAACTGAGGGCTTGGTGTATTACACAGGAAAAATGGGATAACTTGAATAGTAAATGGGCTGAAATTTAACAGCACAAAGACACAAATTCAATAGAACAAAAGTTACTTAGCAACAAATAGGACTTTCTGCTGCAAGCTGGATGTGAATCAGCTTGAGATGGAGGAGGAAGAGAGATGCCTGCAGAATTAGTAAATCATTATGGTGAGATGATGGTGAAAATGTCAGATATGACCCCAGGATGTATCCAGTGAGGAATGTCCAGCTGAGATAGGAAAATGGTAACATATTGTACCAGGCATTGGTGGTATCTCGAGTATTTTCTGCAATTCTGATCACTTTATTTCAAAAAAAGATACTGGGAATGGGGCAATGCAGCAGTAAGAACAAGGGCACAAAGGGCCTGTTTTCAGTAGACTCAGTTCATTTAGTTGCGCAAATTCAAGGCCAAGAAGGAAAACCACCAGTTAGGGAAAACATTTGACACATGGAGAAAGAGAAGCCAATTAAGTAAAGGCTTGCCTGGAAATGAGATAATTTGTACTAAAACAGTGAGACTTTGGAAAAGCCCCCCAATATAGAAGGTAGGACTAAAAAAATTAACTTATTTTAAGGTACAGCTTGCTAAGTTTATGAACCAGATTAACGAGATACATCACCTGAGGCGGCAGGTGAGCCTTGGAAGTGCCAAGGGGCACTTTCCTCTCCAGTTCTGGGTTTCTCTGAGCACATACTTTTCTACCTCTCTAAGCACCCTTCAGGGATGGTGCCCATGACTGGAAGAGCTGTATGTTTATATATCAGCCCTGGGAAAGACCTATGCGTGCTGCTCACTGCCGTCCCTGGGGGAAGAAGACATTCCACAGGGTGGTGGTTTCATGGAGGAACGGAGCAGAGAGGTATGCCTTGGTTTCTTACCCACTCACAAATCTCTGTGCTCCCATGAGAGGTAGAAATAAGTTTCATTTTGGACAGAAAACCTGCAAACTGGCAGTTCCTCAATGAGTGTCCCCTTGGTACCAAAGGACCAGTCCTTAAGGTAATGTCCCCCTCAGCCCATGTTTCCCCAGGCTCCTTGGCCAAGTCACTTTAATCTGTCAGTGCCTTTGTTTCTCAAGGGGACAATTCTCCACCTCAAGTAGCCCCTCTAGAGATAACTATGGCCTATGAGGTGGGGCAAGGTGGATGGAGGAGCACTTACCACTGGGTGGCTTGACCTTTTTCATCTTCTTAAGTGCACTCGTAAGGATTCCCTTTATTCCTTTCTTCCCCTTTTCAGGGGTGTCCCCAGCAGAGGCGCAGCTCTCATTGCTCGTGATGGAAGATGCACGTGAGGGTCTGCAGGCTGCCTCTGGCCTTTCACTCATCTTCTCCTGGTCCTTGGACCAGATCTCGTCTCCAGAAGGTTCAGGACAGGCAGACACTTGCTCAGCTACTGATGTTGAAGGCTTTTCAAGCTGCCTGTTTGCACCAATGCAACCCTCTGATCCACTGCGTATTCCAATAGGACCACTTTGGAAAAAAGGTAACATTTTCATCATTTTCCTTCTAGCCTGTAAATTTCAGAAAGAACTGGTCAGATTATAACAGTTTGCATAAAAACTACCATGGCACAATGTGGCAAGGAATATTCCCATTAAAAAAAAAACATTCTGGAATGAGTTGTCCCTGTGTGGGCGCTGTGAGGAGTGCTACACGCGTCTGGTATGAGCACAGCTCTGCAGGAGAGCTCCTGAGCAATGTCACCTCAGGTAACTGAGAGGATGGAAGCAGCTCTCTAGTCTAATAAATAAAGTAGAGAAAATCGATGAGTGATTTTAAGGGTGATTCAGATGGCCTGATTTGAGACCTCGAGCTTGGCTGGATACAGGAGAGCAGAGCCCTGCCATGGGATGCTGTGGGAGTATGGACGTGCGCATGCATTGCTGCACACGAATGATGTGGGTGGGTGGAACAAGCGTCCTGTGCCTATTCAAAGCAAGCACAAAACTCCCATACTTTTATAAGGCATCGGGATCAATTCCCACCTTCCTCAGGGCCTGTTTTTGCTGATCTCTGCTCATCTGGCTGCAGATCTGTTTGTGGAAGCACTCATGTAGCTACTTGCACACTGAATTTGCGAGTACAGCATGAAAATGAGACGAGCCTACCAAGCCAGGTATGTGTCAGTCTTTGCTGAGCAAAAGTCCTGCTGGTTTAACTGTGTCTCCACTTAAGTCAGTAATAAAATTCTTAGCTTTATTGAGGAGAGCTCCCAGAGAAGGTGGCTGAAAGTTCAGAAACCTCAGGGATGTGAAAAACGCGGTCGAAAGGATGGCAGTGTGGGAAGCACAGCAGTATCTCCTGATACGAGCATCACAAGGCTTATCACTTTAGGCCCAAAAATCCCAGCCAGAAGCATGGCTTCAATGCTTTATGTGTTTCCCGCATCCCGACAGTGGCAGACGCAAGCTCAGGGATGCGGTCAGGCCCTTCAAACCCACTCACAGCCTACATAGTGCGGCCTTTCAGTACTTAAAGGGGGCCTACAGGAAGGATGGGGGCAATCTTTTTAGCAAGGCCTGTTGTGACAGGACAAGGAATAATGGTTTTAAACTAAAGGAGGATAGATTTAGACTAGACATAAGGAAGAAATTTTTTACAATGAGGGTGGTCAAGCACTAGAACAGGTTGCCCAGAGAGGTAGTGGAGGCCCCATCCCTGGAAACCTTCAAGGTCAGGTTGGACGGGGCTCTGAGCACCCTGATCTGGTTAAAGCTGTCCCTGCTCACTGCAGGGGGGCTGGGCTAGGTGACCTCTAAAGGTCCCTTCCAACCCAAAGCATTCTATGATTCTGTGATAATCTCATTTTCAAAACCGTCCCTGGGTGACTACAGCATCCCAAGACAAGGCAACTTCAGTGCAGCTTGTTGCAACTTCAGTGTAACTTGTTGGGCGTTTCCAAATACCTGGGAGCAATTACTGGGCCATCTGTTTATGGCGAAATGTGGGGCTTGAGAAGTGTGGGCTGTGGCTCGTGCAGAAAGAAATGCTAGTGAAATGTGGTGGTGGAGGGGGCAAGTTTCTGATTGCAGGGACTAATCAG